AATTTGATGAACTTGACCTACACTTATGGATGCAGTAGCTCAAAAGAGGGAACAAATACTTACAGCAAGAATCATTCCCACCCCCTCCACACAGAGTAGGCAGGGATGGGCAACTTGGACATTGGCTACTCAAAATGGGGGGCGGGGGGCTACAAAGGCAAGAAGTGACTGTCTTACAAACTTTCAAGAGGGAACCTAGATCCAGAGAGCGTGGAGGAAGGTAGAATCTCCAGTGAGTAGTGTCCAGTCTGTCTGGGCAGAGTTAATGAAAGGAGATGGGGATAGGTCCCTTGTGGTACAATGGTGAATAATTGTTATCAGGAGTGACTGTGAGGGTTGGAAATGTAAATGTAGATGTTTTGTAGCAAAAGGAGGGGAGTGATTGACTTTGCAGTCTAGGAGCGAAGGTCTCTGGAACCATCAAGGGAGAAGAGTGGAGAGCGGGACCCTACCCAGAGAAGCAGTGATGCCAGAGATGGAGGCAGAGACAATGACATGGAGAGATGGAGTGGCTAGGGACTCTAGACCCAGAAGGGAAGAGGGGCTGTGTGCTGACTGCTGATGACCCGGGTGGCGGCGGGGGTGGGGCAGGCTTGCAGGGTATATCCTTTGGTTGGTTGATGATGCATGGAGGGGATTGTAACCATGGCAATGAAACAACATATACGATAGGATGAATATAAAGCTAATGTTCTCCCATGTAAACGATCACATAATTCACAATAAACATTTAAAATAAATAAAATTTAAAAGCCACCCTAAGGCTTAAAAAAAAAAAGCTCCTCTCCTCTTGTTCACTCTGTCTAGCTAGCTGTTTGGGGGTTCCCCACCTAGATCTTTCTGTGAATGAGAAGCTGAGCCAGAAGGCAATATCCCAAAGAGGACAGGAGTGAGAAACAATCTCTCAGGAGGCTTCCTTCTCCCTAGGTCTTCACAGTTAGAGAATTCTGCTTAGACAGGGAGAGAGGGGGCTGAGGGCACTCCATCCTGACTGTGGAGGGGAAGCTACTCACCCTTTTGCCCCATCCCACTGAAGGAGGGGCTCTCAGTTCTCTGAGGGGGGCTCCAGGAACAAGGAGTTAGTGCATTCTCCTGGTTCCCCCTCAGAAAGCAGAGTCCAACTCAGGGACTTGTGTGCAGGCCCATTCATTTTGGGAGGCGTTCCAGGACCAGGAGTCCCTGGGAGGAACGAAGTTAGGGAGCAGAGAAAACCACAGGGGTGTGTGTTCTGGATCTGCTCACCATTGCAGACCTCACAGAGGGGCCATGTAGAGGGTGCCTCCGAGTTTGGTCTAAGAGATCAAAACCAGTTGCCATTGAGTCCACTCCAAGTCACGGCGACCCCATAAGTGTCAGAGGAGGACTGGGCTCCATAGGGTTCTCACTGGCTGACTTTCTGAAGTAGGTTATCAGGCCTTTCTTTGGAGGTGCTTTTGGGTAGACTCCAACTTCCGCCCTTTTTGTCATTAGCTGAGTGCCATTTGCATCACCCAAGGACACCCCTATCCCGCTTCCTGGTACAGGTGCCTGTATGCCCGGTGGCCGCTGCAGGTGTCTCCTGGCATAGGTCAGAGGAGCCCTGGGCTGAGACACTGAGGTGACATACTGTCAGTTTACACTGCATGGGTCTGATGAGGCAGCGGCAAGTGTTGGAGAAGGTGGGCTGAGGGAGACTCTTTGTCCTTTTGGGTTGGGATAAAGCTCACTACCTCTCCCTCTTCCCAGTATACCAGTGAGAGTTAGGGGGCTGTGTCCAGCCTCCAGAACTCTTGAGAGAACTTCTGAGAGACCCTTGACAGAGCAGGACAAAGGGAGAGCCGGACCCTCGATCCTCCCTGAACCTGCTCCGTTCAGTACAAAGCCCCACCCTCTGACTACACCTACAAGGTGTGCCAGGAGCCCTCGATACGATCTAAGTCTTTGAGGAGCACCCAGCAGGGCTGTAGGTAGGCACTGACGTTTCCTGCAGTGGCTCCTTCCAGCCTTCGCAGGGTATTGCTCTTATCACTCCCATCTAGCTGAGGCCGCCTGCCCAGTGCCCAGCCCTCAGAGCCCACGGTCCATCCGGAGAGATGAGCAGCACATCTCTATGGGAAAGGCCGCCTGCCCAGGGCCCAGCCCTCAGAGCCCACAGTCCATCCGGAGAGATGAGCAGCACATCTCTATGGGAAAGGCCGCCTGCCCAGGGCCCAGCCCTCAGAGCCCACAGTCCATCCGGAGAGATGAGCAGCACATCTCTGTGGGAAAGGCTGCCTGCCAGGGTGGGGCTGGAGAAGAAACAGAGGGTGTGGATGAAGTTGTAACTGGAATTGTACAGACCTTCAGCTCTGCTGTGTGCACTTGGGGAAGTTACCTACCCTCTCTGAACCTCTGTTTTCCAGGTAGTGTAATCATACCTGTTTCATAGGGGTTTTATAAGGATTAAGTAGGTTGGGCATATCAAATGTTGTTCGGTAAACTTGAGTTTTTTCTATGACTAGTGGAAGTCTCAGTATTCCTGTCTATAGTCCAAAGCTGGTGAATCCTTTGCCTATTATACCAAATCATTACAGTTCCATCTGTAGGGGCCCAGGTGGCATAAGGGTTAAGCACTCGGCAGCAGTTGGAACCTACCAGCCACTTAAGGAAAAAGAGATGGCAATCTGCTTCCATAAAGATTAAAATCTACTGCCATCAAGTCAGTTCCAACTCAGCCACCCTACAGGACAGAGCAGAACTGCTCCAATGGTTTTGGAGACCGCAAATCTTTAAGGGGGTCTATTGCCTCAGCTCCATAGGGGTTTCAGCGATTGATTTTTCAGAAGTAGAACTCGAGACTTTTCTTTCAAGGTCCTTCTGGCTGTACCCGTACCTCCAGCCTTTTTGTTTGCAGCTGAGCACAGCCATCATTTGTACCCCCTAGTGATTCCCCAGTGCCTCTTCATCCACAATTAACCCAGGGGATTGGATTCGTTGCCCAATGATCTCTAAGTCACCGTTCTAGCTTTCATGAGGGTAAGGGCCTCTGGATCTTATAGAGGAGGGGAGAGGAAAGTGCCTGCTTCCTGGGGCACAGAGGTAGGAAAGACTGTGTTCATTTGTATTGCTTTGTATGCAGCACATTAGTGACTTAAGGCGATTCCTTTTATTATCCCATAGATCTCTAAGCTCAGTGTCCAGCATGGTGTATCACACGGCTGAAATCAAGCTGATGGTCAGACTGACTTGTCTGGATTCCCTAGGGAGACATCCACTTCCAATTTCTTAGGTTGTTGGCAGAATTTACTGTCTGACACTTGTCAGACTGAGGCTCGTATTTCCTTGTTGGTTGTTGATAAGGGATTGCTCTCCGCTCCAAGAGGCTGTCCTCAGTTCCTTGCCATGTGGCCCCTTCAGTCTCCCAGCCAGCACACTGAATCTTCCTCATGCTTCAGATCTTCAATGTCCTCTGTCTCTGACCTCAGGTGCCAGATTTAAAGGCCCAGCTGAATAATTACCCCATTTTAGTAGACTGTACTAATGCCGAATGTTCTCAAAGGTTACTGCTGTGTTGGCCGTTTAGGCAAGTGGTGGTATATGCTTTCTCTGGGCCTCAGTTTCCCTCCCTGTACAGGGGGAATTTCAGCACATTCTTTACACAAAGGATGAACTGGTTCCTCACCTACTTCTCATGGTGGTTGGGAGAATACAGGGTCATGAGGGGTGAGAATAGGCCCTCGTCCTCGCCCCAGAAGCAGCTCACCGAGCCTGTCTGTTCTTCTCTACCAGCCTGTTCCAGGTCCCGAGCTAGAGTGATGGAAAACTCCTCAGCAGCGTCGGCCTCCTCCGAGGCTGGGAGCAGCCGCTCGCAGGAGATTGAGGAGCTAGAGCGCTTCATCGACAGCTACGTGCTTGAGTACCAGGTGCAGGGCTTGCTGGCTGACAAGACAGAAGGAGACGGTGAGAGCAAGAAGACCCCGTCCCACATCTCCCAGGTGAGGGCGAGAGGGGCCTTGGCAAACTCAAAGGAGGGTGGGACAGGGGGCCCTGATTCCAGGTGCTAGTGATTATGAGTTGGGCTGGTAACCTCAAGGTCAGTAGTTTGAAACTACCAGCAGTTCCATGAGAGAAAGATGAGGCTTTCTGTTCCCGTAAAGATTTACGGCCTCGGAAACTCTATATAGGGTCACTATAAATTGGAACTGACTCCACAGCCACCACCACCATATATGTTTGGAGTCCTGGTGTGGTTTGTTGTTAGGTGCCATCGAGTCGGTACCGACCCATAGCGACCTTATGCACAGCAGAACGAAACACTGCCCGATCCTGGGACAACCTCACTACTGTTGCCATGCTTGAGTCCATCGATCCTGCCACTTGGCCAATCCATCTCACTGAGGGGGTCTTCCTCTTTTTCTCTGACCCTCCACCTTAACAAACATGATATCCTTCTCCAGCAACTGGTCCCTCTTGACAATATGTCCGAAGTATGAGAGACGAAGTTTGGCCATCTTGGCCTCTAAGGAGCATTCTGGCTGCACTTCTTCCAAAACAGATCTATTGGTTCTTTTGGCAGCCCATGGCACTTTCAATATTCTCCTCCAACACCATAACTCAAAAGCATCAATTCTTCTATGGTCTTCCTTATTCACTGTCCAGCTTTCGCATGCATATGAAGTTATTGAAAACATCATGGCTTGGGTCAGGCGCACCTTAGTCCTCAAGCTGACATCTTTGCTCTTCAACACTTTAAAAAGGTCTTGTGCAGCAGATTTGCCTACTGCAATACGTTGTTTGATCTCTTGACTGCTGCTTCCGTGAGTGTTCATAGTTGATCCAAGAAGAATGAAGTCTTTGACAACTTCATTCTTTTCTCCGCTGATAAGAATGTTGTTTATTGGTCCAGTGGTGAGGATTTTTGTTTTCTTTACCTTGAGATGTAATCCATACCGAAGGCTATGCTCTTTGATCTTCATCAGTAAATGTTTTAAGTCCTCTTCACTTTCCGCAAGCAAGGTTGTATCATCTGCATATCGCAGTTTGTTAATGAGTCTTCATCCAATCCTGATGCCATGTTTTTCTTCATAGAACCCAGCTTCTCAGATTATTTGCATAGCATACATTTTAAATAAGTATGGTGAAAGAATACAACCTTGTTACACACCTTTCTTAATTTTAAAAAACATTCAGTGTTCCCATGTTCTGATTGAACAACTGCCTCTTGGTCCAGGTGCAGATTCTTCATGAGCACAATTAAGTGTTCTGGAATACTCATACTTCACAATATTGTCCATAGCTTGTCATGAGCCACACAATTGAAAGCCTTTGCATAATCAATAAAGCACAGGTAAGCATCTTTCTGAAATTCTCTGCTTTCAGCCAAGATCCATCAGACATCAGCAATGATATCTCTCATTCTGTGGCCCCTTCTCTGGTAGCCTAGTGGTTACGAATCGGGCTGCGAACTTTAAGGTAAGCGGTTCGAAACTACCAGCCGCTCCACGGGAGAAAGATGAGGCTTTCTACTCCCGTAAAGGTTTACACCCTCAGAAACCCTGTACAGGGTCGCTATGGGTCAGAACCGACTCGACGGCACTTAACAACAACAACAACAATGGCCCCTTCTGAATTCAGCTTGAACCTCTGGAAGTTCTCTGTCAATGTATGATTGTAGCCTTTTCTGTATTATTGTTAGCAAAACTTTACTTGCATGGGATATCAAAGAGATTGTCCGATGATTTCTGCATTCTGTTGGGTCACCTCTCTTTGGAATGGGCACAAATATGGATCTCTTCCAATCAGTCGGCCAGATCCTGTGTGTTAATGCACTGGCCTGCAAAGTCAGCTTGAACTGCAAGGTTGGCAGTTCAAGCTCACCAGCTGCTCCTTGAAAACCCTATATAGGATTACTATGGGTCAAAACCGACTCGACAGCACTTAACAACAACAACTGATTTTCTGGCCCTAGATGGCCAAGGTGTGGGTGGACCCCCACCCTTCTCCCCTGGAGAACAGCCAGAATCCTGCGGGTAAGGCTTTGGGATCCAGACAGGAGGCATCCTCCTTGGATACTCAGCCAGGTTCACAATTCATTGAACAGCACATTGAATATAAGGGAATTTGGAAAAGTTCATGGAAAAATTCCGTTATCTTTTAATTACATTTGTCCATGAACTTTTTGAAGCCCTCTCATTTATTAAGCACAAGTGGAGGCTTGAACGTTGTTATGGATTTGGACAGGTTTCCCCATAGCTTCCAGATTAAGATAGACTAAGAAGAAAGGTGGTCGTCTACTTTCAAGAAAGCAGCTAAGGAAGACCCTATGGATATGGGGACCAACCACTGCATCCCATTGCGCATGAGCTTGCCATCAGCTGGGGGCTGATTTGATGGCAGCTTAAGAAGAAGCAACAACAACTCTGTGTTAGACACTGTTCCCTGTCTGTCCTCGACAAGCTCGTGCTCCGGGAGACCACATGAGCCTGTCCACCCTGCACACGATGGACACATGAATGGCTGTAACTCGTAAATATTCTTTGTCTTCAAACACAGGCAGTTATTCACCCTCAGAACATTGAAGTTCTCAGGCAGCTCACCCAGAGTTCAGTATTCCCGACATAGTTAGATGAGTGAGGCATTTTGGCAGGAATCTCGAATGGGTTTCCCTACCCACGGTCAATCTAAGGCAACACTGGCCTTGGATACAAGATAGACTCTTTTGATGATGATGGCTCAAGACTGGGAAGCCTTGAAATTTCCCTTGTAGAGTACGAACTTGGTAAAGGCAGGGCCCATGGTGTATGTACCCATGCCTAACCCCTAAGTCCTCAGTAGATGTTTGTTCGAGCTGCCTGTGTTACCTCCAGTGTCACTGAGGCTTATTCTGCAGATACAACAAATGGCGCCTCAGGAATGCTGGGAGGTCACAGGAGGTAAGGCGTCGAAAAGTGACAGGAAGACAGGATGTCTTCTTACAAGGCACACACTGAGGGTCTTCTCACTGGTTCGGTCAGGTCCCAGGCATCTACCTCATGTGCTTTCTGTCCCACCTCAAGCCTGGGACTCTGCTGACGGTAGAAAGGGAGGCACTTGGCTATTTTGCTTTAGAGAAAAGCCAGAAGGAAGCCGCCTGGCCTGCTCTTTGGGCAGGCAGATGATCCTCCATCTCTTTAGAAACCAGAACGAACCTGTAGCTTTGCTGGAATGCAGGACCAGAAGTCGACCTGGGAAACCCTGAAGCCACAGTGGTCTTGTGCCCTGTTTCCATTGTGGGTGGGGTGGATATAAGCCTGTAACTTATTCATTATTCTACTTACAAGGGTGTGTTGACCACCAACCCACTGTCTGTTCTGGGATGCACAAAGCTCTCTGGGACTTACATTCTAGTGTTGGGTGATAGGTGCTTGGAGAGAAAGTAAGGGACGAGGATCGGGAGTGAGGAGGGGTAGGAGGGGACTGCAGTGTTTAGTAGGGTCGACAGAGAAGGAAGTGAAGGGTGAGCTGTACAGCTATCAGAGGAGAGGGAGCAGTGTGTGCGAAGAAAGGCCTGAGGTGGAGAGTGTTCCGGGCACAGTGTGGTTGAAGTGGAGTAAGCTGGAGGCGGTGAGTTAGACAAGTGCTGGGAGTATGTGGAGAGGAGGTCCAAGGCACTGAGCCTGGGGCCTTCCAACATGCAGAATGAAGGGATGTGGGGAGGAACCAGCCAAGACCAGGAGGGCTCTGCCAGTGGAACGAGGAAAACCTGGGTATCTTCATGGATATCGAATTTCACCAAGGAAGAGTATAAGAGTGTTGGAGAGATGGTAGTCATCCCATCTCTTGAAGACAAGTCTTCAAGGAATAGGGAGGAGTAGGGAGGAGGAGAACCTGCTGGTCTCCCTTGGCTGCAAGGAGGAGGATTGTGGGCATCTCCTCTCATGATATACTGTTGTACTTACATAACTTCATTTCTTGATCGAAACTATCCTTCTCGTACTGTTAATAATAACAGTTCTGGAGTGGAGGGAGTGGTCAGGTTAGATTGAAAAATTCTGAGGCCAAGGCAGGAAGGGGAGGAACTAAGTGAACCACTATGGCAATTACCTTTGAGTCTCCTAGAGCTGCCTCCTCAGAAGCTTGGTCAGGTCCATGGGCAGGCCCACTTTCCTCGCTGTGTGGAATCCAAGTGTCTCCAGCAGGGCAGCCTGCAAAGGTCCCTCCAGTTGAGGAGGGTGCAAGGGAGCTTCACCCCAGAGGAACGCTTTGCTCCTGGTAGAATTACTGTTCCCAGAGCAGCTCTGGGGGAGATCGTGTTGGAAGGAGGGCCTCTCAGCACCTTTAGTCTCTCTGTGGTGTCTGCTGAGCTTCCAGGAGGTTAGGAGGTAGAGATGCATCCTCAGTCTGGCTCCTGCACTCTGGCTCCTGTCCTCCGGGGTGGCTTGGGTGGACCAGCTGGGTGTCCACAGCTGAGTGTCCACAGCTAGATGTCCACATCTGGGTGGCAAGCTTCTGGAGTAACTTTTCTGCTTTTTACAATTAAGGAGAGTGTGGAGAACACTAATACCACTATTATTCAAACTTACACACCGATGAAATGGAAGAATTCTACCAACTTCTTCAGTCTGAAATTGATCAAACATACAATCAAGATATAATGATAATTCCTGGTGATTGGAATGTGAAGGTTGGAAACAAAGAGAAAGGATCAGTAGTTGGAAAATGTGGCCTTGCAGATAGAAATGATGCTGGAGATCCCATGATAGGATTTTGCAAGGCCAATGAATTTTATTCATGTCAAATACCTTTTTTAAACAACTTAAAAGACAACAATACACATGGGCCTCATCAGATGGAATACAAAAGAATCAAATTGACTACATCTGTGGGAAGAGTGTGGAAAAGTTCAACGTCATCAGCCGACAGAAGGCTAGGGACAGACTGCAGAACAGACCATCAATCACTCACATGCAAGTTCAGGCTGAAGGTGAAGACAATTAAAACAAGTTCATAAGAGCCAAAATATGACCTGGAACATTTACCACTTGAATTTAGAGATCATTTCAAGAACTGATTTGATGCATTAGACACTAATGACTGAAGACCGGAAGAGTTTTGGACATCAAAAACATCATATAGGAAGAAAGCAAAAGGTTACTAAAAAGACAAGAAAGAAAAGGCCAAAATGGATGTCAGAAGAGACTGAAATTTGTACTTCAATGTAGAGACGCTAAAATGAATAGAAGAAATGAGCAAGTCCAAGAATTGGCATAGTGGCAGCAGCAGTGGACTCAAGCATAACAACAATTGTGAGGATGGTACAGGGCAGGACAATTACTCTCTTATGCATAAGGTCGCTATGAGTCAGAACTGACTCTGCAGCACCTAACAACAACAGCCCAGCCATTTGGTAGGAATTACAAAGATAAGGTAGAAGAGCGACGCTAAGTAATTCACTACACTCAATGGAAAGAGACTCTTGAGTCACATTGACCATTGACCTTTCGCAGAAGATATTGGGATGTGATAAGTGGGCAAATGTTTGACCTCGTATGTTAGTAAATTTAGTGACATTAGTGACCTGGTGGGTCATCAGAAGATTTTGCACAGTGTTTGTGTGCTGCATACTTGGAGAACTTTGAAAGTAATCTCTGTACTGATCCCACCCCAGTGAATCATTTGAATTTTTGTAAGTCCCCCGCCCCACCCTTGTGATTCTGATGTCCAGCTGGTGGCTGGCGTTGTGTACATAGTGGAGGCATGTCCCAACAACAATTTTAGACTTATTAGCAAAGGTACAAAAAAAAAAAATAGTGCCGAGTTCTCACAGTGTCACCCAGCTTCCGTTAACTTGGACTGTTTTTATGTAGCTATAGTGCAATGATCAACACTAAGCAATTCATATTATAATTGTTCAGTTCTTTTGTGGAATGCAGTAATTCAGTTATCTGTTAAATGCCCCTCAGTTTGGAGTGTCTGATGTTTCCTTGGGGTTAGATGTGGATAATGCAAACAGTTAACATGTCTGACTACGAACCAAAAGAAAGGCCTGATGATCTGCGTCTGAAAAATCAGTCATTGGAAACCCCATGGAGCCCAGGTTTACACTTTAGAGTCAGCACGAGTCGAAGTCGACTAGATGGAAACTGCTTTTTGGCATTGTTGGCAAGACTGACCCAGAAGTGGTGTAAAATTCCTGATATCAGTGCTGACTTGCTTTATTACTGGTACATTCACTTTGATCTCTTGCTTAAGATGGTGTCTGATGGGCTTCTCCATTGTAAAGTAGCCATTTTTCCCTTTGTGAGTAATATTTTGGAGGACAACATTTTGAGACTGCAAATCTCTTGGCAGAGGGAATTTAATCTTTGGAAATGATTTCCCAGTGGATAAAATAATCAGCCCCCAAATTGGCAACTACAAGAAGCCATTGCTCTATCTGGGCCTCAGGCACAAGGGGAAGAGATGGTGTTGCCAGAGCCCAGGGTGGAAAGCCTATCTGGCAAGGGCTGGAGCCAGAAAGGAGTCCCAGTCATAGCTGGTAATACCACCTGAGGCCCAGAGAGAGGAGAGAAATACCCTGGCAGCTCTCTTCATGCTGTCTACCATGTTGCCTGAGCCCAGCTGATACAGGAGCCTGGGAGTCTCCATCTGCAGGGATCAACAGACACTGGGTCTGAGGGAAGACTGACTTGCCCAGGACTGGTATACTGCCTTTGCCATGTCTCTAGAACTGTGCTGTTTGGTATGGTAGCCACAAGCCAAATATGACTCTTCAGTCCTTGGAATATGGCTAGGTCCAATTGAGATGTGTTTTAAATGAATTTCGAAGGCTTGAGTGTGGAGAAAAACAACATAAAATACCTCACAAATATTTCTTTATATAATGACACATTGATGTGATACTATTTTGGAGATATTGAGTTGAATAAATTGTTATTAGTGTTAAGTGCCATTGAGTCAGGTCCAACTCATAGTGACCCTACATAGCATTTCTGAGGCTGTAAGTCTTTGCAGGGTTTACGAAGAGTGGCTGATGAGTTTGAAATGCTGATCTTGAAGCCCAAAGTGACCTTGCCGAACAGTGCTTATCCTACAAGGTTATCTCGATGTCGAGTTTGGGGGTGCCAGCTAGGACCTGCTGGGAGGAAGGACTTACCATGAAAATGGCCAAGTAGGATTTTCAGGTGACAGAGGACCGATGAGACTTGTGTCCTGCCGCCACTGACCACCCCTTTCCTCCCGCAGTGGACGGCGGACTGCAGCGAGCCCCTGGTCAGCAGCTGCTCCTTCTCCCGTGGTCGAGCGCCCCCACAACAGGTAAGGAGCCAGTGCCATGCTCCACCTGGGGACTGCCATGGGTCTCATGTCTGGGTTCCTGAGAGGCGGTAATATGGAGGGCAGGGAAATGGGTGAGGGGCTGTGCCCTGGAGACCCCTCCTACGGGAAGCTCTACCTCCTCTGGGCACACAGATCTCTCAGATTTCTTTCCAGCCCCTGCATTATTCATAGTAGCAAAAACCTGGAAATAACCCAAGTGTCTGTTTCTGAGAGGAGAATGGAGAAATTACTTGTGATAGGTTCTTAAAGTACAATATTATATGGCAGTAAAATGAATGATGGATGGGTGGGTCTCACATTGACATTGATGGATCTCAAACAAGGGGACTACAGGATTAGTTTAAATGAGTTTATTTTTTTAATAGACTTTATTTTTTAGAAAACTTGTAAGTTTACAGACAATTATGCAGAAAGTACAGTGAGCTCCCAGATGTCCCCTCTCCCTTTCCCCTACAAACCCAAACCTGTTCAAGTCGATTCTGACTCATAGCGATCCTATAGGTCGGAGCAGAACACTTCCATAGGTTCTCCAAGGTTGGAAATCTTAATAGAAGCAGGCTAGCCTCATTTTTCTCCAGTACAGCAGCTGGTGGACTTGAACTGCCAAACATTCAGTTAACAGACCTATGCTTAACCCACTGCACCACCAGGGATCCTTTTACCCCCACACTTTCCCCTATTATTGACATCTTGCTTTTGCTTGGAACATTGGTGACGGTTTATGTTTACACTCTATGGCGCCTTAGGATAAGCACTGGACTGCTAACCACAAGGTCGGCAGTTCAAACCCACCAGCCATTCTGCCAGAGACAATAAGGCTTTCTGCCCCTGTAAAGATTTACAGCCTCAGAAATGCTACCCAGGGAATGTTATGAGTCTGAACCTACGGCCGTGGGTTTAGTTTGGTTTGTGGCCTATGGTAGCATCACTGGGCTCAAGTTTGGCAACAGCAGTGAGGTTGGCCCAGGATTGGGCAGTGTTTCTTTCGTTCTGCTGTGCATAAAAGTCGCTATGAGTCAGTACCGACTCGATGGCACCTAACAACAACAACAAAGTGTGCAATAGCATTGGGAAAAAGTTGGAAATATTTCAAGAATGACCAAAATGTGATGCAGACAGGAAGTGATATTGGAAAAACGGCACCTACAGACTTGCTCAACACAGGGCTGACACAAGCCATCAATTTGTAAAAACTGTAATTTCTGTGGGGTGCAATAAAACAAGGTATGTCTATGTAGTGTGCACTCCAATCAATACATAGGATGGAATCATCCAGCCTTTTCTTCATGTGGCAGCTCCTGGGTTTCGTGCTGTGGGACACCTTGGAGATCACTTCTGCTCCAGGTTACGTAAGGGTGCCTGGGAGGGCTAGGTGACAGAGAGGCCTGACTCCTTCCCCTTGGCCAGCCAGCTTTGCTGGGGCTAGCTAGGTAAGGTCCACTTTTTGCGTGCCGCTCCTGTGTGGGCTGCACAGCTGGTAGGGAAGGAAACCATTACTAAGTGACTCTGGTCCATCCCGCCCCCACCCACCCCCGCCCCCTCTGACTGTCTGGCTGTTCCTGCAGACACCTTGTCCCTGCCTACAGGAGTCAGTGGATCAGAAGGCTGAAAGGAACCATTTATCCCTAGCCCCAGCTGAGCCTCAGACAGGCCAGTGCAGAGCTGGGAGGAGCCCCACAGTGAGCTCAGAAACCTGCCCTGATTTTAAAGCTGCAGCAATGACATGTTGCTGGGGTCCACTTCTGGGAGTGACTTCACCCCTGGGTGCCAATGAAAGCAGGGCTTCACCATTCGGATCCTGGGACATCAGCTCTGGAATCTTTCTTGGGCGGCAGGGCTTGCTCCATCATTCAGGGGCCAGGGGGTCAGGGGGACATGTTTCCTAATGTTACCAAGCCCAAACCAAACTCACTGCCAACAAGTCTATTATGACTCATAGCGACTGTGTACGACAGAAGTAAACTGCTCCATGGAGCTTCCAAAGGCTGTAACTTTTTACAGAGCAGATGAGCCTCATCTTTCTCCCGAGGAGCAGCTGGTGGGTTTGAACCATCAATCTTTCAGTTAGTAACCCAACGGCCCCACCAGAGCTTCTTTTTCTCACCTTACAAGATGTTTACTTGTTTGTCAACTAATGGCAGAAAAGCCCCCACCTCACCCTGCCTTCTCAGAGGGTAGTTTGGGACCTACAAGGAAGAAGGAAAGAGCCAGAGAGTCCAGAACAAGAAATGGGGTTCAGTTAGTGCTGAAGAGGCTGCTCAGCTACCAGGACTGGGGCTCAATTGTATTGTGGGTTCTCTGGAAGCCTCTTGCACATAACATTTTGTTAAGACATTGGGATACAGTTTCCAGCTTTTCACTGCAATAGTGGAAAATGCTTAGAGATAGTTGAGAAGAAAGCTCTTGAGAAGAGAGAAGGAATTCACAGGCGTGAATTTAGAAAACATCGCCAGGTGCTGTAACATTCAGGAAAGAAATCTGAAAGCATCGGAAAGGTTGCTGTGAGTCCAGGAGCAAACAGCTCTTTTCTGCCTGCGTCGAAGTGCTAAGGAAATGAATTTAGTATGCACAACAGCAGCAGAGCCTCTGGATAGATCTTGAGAAGGACTTCCTGCTTGAAGGATTTGTTGGCCATTGAGCAAGGTCGGTGGCTCAAGCTCACCAGCTACTCCTTGGAAACCCTATACAGGGTCGCTATGGGTCAGAATCAACTTGGCGGTACTTAACAACAACAACAAGGAAACCCTATACAGGGTCACCATGAGTCAGAACTGACTCCACGTCACACTGCCACCACCAATGAGACTAAGACAAGTGTACTACAGAGAGAACTTGTCTGCAGCCATCCCCAATTGCAGAAACGTATTTAAACATATTTGTTTGGAATAAACCTGTGAGTGTATGAAGTAGAATCTTAGTAGCAATACTTTTTTTTACTTACCCTTGTATAAATATGTAGGGAGAGACATTGATTTACTTCATGTGATCATGGGGGCTGACAGCAAGCTGGACACTCCTGCCGGCTCATGGGATTGTGTGTGGGAAGCTTGTAAGTCCAAAATCAAGCTAGGTGTCAGTCTGGAGACTTCTTCAGGTTTGGGTTTCATCATCCCTAGGTCAGATGATGGGAAGAGTGCAAAGTTGAGAAACAGAATGAGAAAGATTTCAACCAAAATATCTATTTATAGACCACATCTAAGGAAGCCCCCCCTTTGAATACATTATGAAATAGCAGCTAGTCTAGTGGTTGGCCAAAATACTGGGAATCTTAGCCTAGCCAAGTTGACCCATGAAATGAACCATCACAGCTAGTTAATGTGAAGAATAGGAAAGACGTGGAAGCTTTAAAAAGTTCATGGGAAAATGGAATTGAAAGATAATGGGATTTTTTCCATGACCTTTTTGAACCCCCATCATCCATGTTAAGGGCCCATAAGAGAGGCTGTGTCTTTCCAAAAAAAACAGCCTGTGTACTGAGTAGAGAGAACATCTGACTTGAAGAACATACGGCTTGACTTGTGCCTTCAGCAGTGGGCAGGATGTCAGAATAGGTGGAAGAGAAGGGGAAGGACATGCCAGAGACAAGAGATGGTGTAACTTTGGGCAGTTAGGGTGACAGGACAGAGCATGGCTGAAGTAGATGGTTAGTGTTGGGCACTACTAGAGTGGTGGTGGTGGAGGAGGATGAGTGTGCTGGGCTGAAATGTTAAAGTCCTGTCCAACCTACCCTTGTACATCTTCTGTTGTTCTTGGTTGCTCATACAGATAAAGTCTGTCTCCTTGTATCATCCATCTCCTTGTAGGGCATAGCTACTACTCCTGTAACAAACAATCCCACCACCTCATAACTGAAAACAACACACTCAGCACCCACCTTGATGGAACAGTTACTATTTCAGCTGGTCAACCCAACTGAAGGAAGGGGATCTGGAGAATCTCATGTTGGCAATTCAACACTCTAGCCAGAAGTTAACACATGCCACTTCTTAGCTTCTTGGGCACATGACCTCCCTTCAATCATAAACACACTAAGAAGTGTAATTCTGCTATAGTCCTGGAATGGACTTGGTGTGACTGGTCAGAATGACTGCCAGGTGCCCAGCCTCTAGTAGAACCTCACCTGAGGCTGGGGCTGACCCTTGCTCCTCTCATCTCCTCTTCCACATCAAATCTAGACCAAATCCATCTCAAGTGCACTTCAGAGCATGCGGATCTCACATCATGGGGTCTCAGGACATCAAGAAGCTCAGAGGTCACCTGATTCCTCACTAGATCCACCCCCGACCCCAATGTCATTATTGTGTCTGGAAATTTCCAGCCATGGGGCACAAACTGCCTTCAAAAGGCATCTCAGGTGCTTGTTAGGTACCTCCAGTTGACAAAATTGTCCTTTCTTTGATTCATCACCAAGCTGTTTTCTCATAGCGCCCGCTGATGGTTTTAGTTTTTAACTCCTTTGCCCACATCTGCCCTGTAGCAGCCACCATTGAAAGTCTTCCTTTTGAAGCTAAATACCCTCATGCCTGCAGCCATTTCCCTTTCCCCATAATTAGTTCATGCTTCTTGGTTCATTCATCCATTGATCCAATCATCAAATCGTCAATGAGGGCCACCCATGTGCCAGGCACTGTGCTAGGAACTGGGGATTGAGAGTGGCACCCAAGAGGGCGCAGGGCAGACATACTACAGTGTAAGAAGTCTGTGCCCAGAGTCATTCCCTACACTCTGGAACTGCTGTGTCTGCTGTGTCTGTCTGTGTCTATGTCTGTGTCTGTCTGTGTGTCTGTCTGTGTCTGTGTGTGTGTGTGTCTGTCTGTCTGTGTCTGTGTACCTGTATCTGTCTGTGTCTGTCTGTGTCAATTCTGGGACTTGACACACTGATTCTCAGAGCCCCTGAGCCCTCCTGTGAGCACTACTGTTCTCCATAGCATGTCTCCTAGAATCTGAGCGAGGCAGCCTCCACAACCTGCCAGTGTGGGTGCCCCTCTTCCTGAAAATGCCATCTGCCCCTGTCCTCACAGGACCTTCTGGCTCTAGATTACTCACAGGAATAGGATACGACTCCAAAGAGTATCAACAATTAACTTTTGTAGGGAGACCTATTGGCAGCTGTCCATTGAGTACCTGTTATGCGTGCAACATGGCTTGGTATCTGCCTTCAGAGAACCTATGTCTATGTCCAGAGAAAGGACGTTCTTGTCTGAAAAAGCAACCGTCTGAAAGCTTTTGAATACAGGGGGAGTTTAGTGTCGGTTGGCCAGGCATCTGGTGTGGCTGAACCCAGGCCAGGTTCACATCACATGGCCATTTAAAACCCAAATCACAAACCTAATTAGCCAGAGAGAGTGTTGTGGGCAGGCTTGGCTTAGGAGAAATATACTGACCTCAGGCATCAGACATTGTCTCCCTGACCTTTGGGGTTTAATTAGAAGACCACGGTGGTCCAGAGTGAGGGGGCAGGATGGACAGACAGACACAGCAGTCCCAGAGTGTAAGGACTGACTCTGGGTACTCTACTGTCTCAGAAGTACTTCTTTTGGGGGCTGTTTAGAATGTTGGAGGCCTGCTCCTTCTTTCTCCAGCACTGGGATGTTGTCTTTAGTGCTGATCCTGCTTGGGGCCAGGACATCTGCCCACCATCTCCCTCTGTGTGCATCTCTTCAGTTCCTCTCTGCCTAGGCAGATCCTCCTATTGGACAGAAATCTTTGGAATCTTTTGTTCCCTGCACATTTAATGGAATATAGGAACGCTCCTGGAATCTCTCATATGTTGTACCTGCCCTTCCCAGCGAGGACAGGGACCACTCAGACCCCCAGATCCTCTTCCCTTCTCTATGGACATCTGACTCCCTTCAACAGTCCTGCCGTCCAAACATGTGCAGAGGTGGGCATGGAGATGGCTTCATTACAGCTTTATGGAAAGCCCTGCTACGGGGTCACAATTTGTCTGAATAGTAGAACAGCAGTGCAGTGGTTAAGAGCAAGAGCATAACATCTGGGCCACACATAACATCTGGGCTCCCCACCCTGGGAGCTAGCTGCATAAATGTGGGCAAGTTCTCTGTGCCTCAGTTTCCTCATTAGCAAAATGGGAATGATGATAATAATATCTGCCTGCAGTAGGCAAATCTGCTGCACAAGACCTTTTTAAAGTGTTGAAGACCAAAGATGTCAGCTTGAGGACTAAGTTGCGCCTGACCCAAGCCATGGTATCTTTCAATAACCTCATATGCATGCAAAAGCTGGACAGTAAATAAGGAAGACCATAGAAGAATTGCTGCATTTGAGTTGTGGTGTTGGAGGAGAATATTGAAAGTACCATGGACTGCCAAAAGAACCAACAGATCTGTGTTGGAAGAAGTGCAGCCAGAGTGCTCCTTGGAGGCCAGGATGACCAGACTTCATCTCTCATACTTTGGACATGTTGGAGAAGGATATCATATTAGGTAAGGTAGAAGGTCAGAGAAAAAGAGAAAGACCCCCAGCGAGATGGATTGGCCAAGTGGCAGCATCAATGGGCTCAAGCTTGACAACAATGGTGAGGTTGGCCCAGGATTGGGCAGTGTTTCATTCTGTTGTGCACAGGGTTGCTATGAGTCAGTACCGACTTGATGGCACCTAACAACAATGACAACAACTGTTGTAATGGAGTCCTGGTGTGGCGCTGTGGGATCAGTGCTGGGCTGCTAACTACAAGGTTGGCAGTTCAAACCCACCAGCTACTCCTGGGATACCTTATACAGGGTGACTATGAGTCAGAGCTGACTCAGTGGCACTTAACAACGACAACTGTTGTAATGGAGACATTGGCGGCTCAGAGGTGGAATTTTCACTTCCATGCAGGAGATCTTGGCTTGACTCCCAGCTAATTCACCTCCACTGTAGTCCCCACCCATCATCCATCAGTGGAGACTTGCATGTTGCTAGAGTGCTGAGCAAGTTTCAGCAGATCTTCCAGGCTAAGATGGAGTAGGAAGAAAGACCTGGAGATCTACTTGCAAAAACCAGCCAGTGAAATCCCTGTGGGTCACAACAATCTGATTCACAACCTGTCATGGGGTGGTCCAGGACCGGGCAGCATTGCTGTCTGCTGTGCTTGGGGTCACGATGAGTGGGGCCAGCAAGAGCAACAGTAGGGCTGGATCCATGTAAGTGCTCAGATGTGTTCCCTGAGATGTAACTTCTGTCAGTATCTACTATGGTTACCATGGTGATTCTTGGTCCTTCCTGGGGTCTGTCTTCCCCTGAGCTGAGGGTAGCTATTCCTCCACTGGGAGCTTCTAAGAGGCTGCCTCAGTTTCCCTGCCAGTTTCACTGTCTCTTCCGTGTGGTTTCAAGTGCTCATTACCCCTCTGTGATGTGTTGTGAGAACAGTGTGGCTCTTCTGAGCATGAGCCCCTTGAGCTGCCAGTAAAAGGGGCTGTTGTGAAGGACCCCCAGCGTGTTAAGTGCTAAAAAAACATCTTCTGAAAAGGGCAATTGTTTCTTATGATGCTTCTCAGAAGCCTGGCATTTCAGCAACTTGGGGGGTAGGGCTGGGGGCATCTTAGGGCCAGGAGCAGGCTGTGCTCAGAGAAAAGCGATGGTCACCGGGCCAACCATGAAATTACAACCTGGAGAATGTCCTTTAAGAACCCAGTGATAGAAAGCCCTCAGTGCCTGGCCACAGTCACTTCATGGGGGGTGGTGAGTGGGCGGAGAGATCACCACTGAGGAAAAGCCAGGGTCCCTGCCGTCCAGGGGATGAGAGTTAGCATGAGGCTCAGTGGTGTCCACTCAGACTAGGCTCGACAGCCACTAGGGTGATCCTGGCCTCCGTGGTCAGCAGCGGGATAAGGCTGGCTGGGTGGCCACTTAGGAGGACAATGGGTGGGACTGTCGAAGGCCCTGAGGAAGTGGGAGCTGGGGAGATCAGAGAACAGCTTGAGCTGGCCTGGGACTGTGAGGCACATGGTATTGTCTCTGAGAACATGAGAAGCCCACAGCAGGGTCATCCCCTGGCAGCAGGAGGAGGGACATGATGTACTTCATAAAAGGAGACAAGTGGGACACCAAAGCGCAGTTGTGGGGCCCCAGAAGGTCCTGACAAGGACCGAGGGTGGGTTGTTGGAGACTCTTCAGCCTTAGGGTCCCTTGACACACTTGAGCTGACCCTATCCCTACCACGATCTCTGTGCAAACCCAGAGGCCTTAAAGTTACCCAGATTCCTGGTATTCTGCCATGATTCCTTCCCACATACCACTGGCTTGGATGACTCCTTTCCTCCTTCCCCCTGCTTGCCTGACCTCCTCAGGAGAGTGTCTCTGTCCTTTTTATCCTCAACGTCAGCTCAGACCCTGGCCCATGGCCCATGCTCAACAGAAGGTCATTCAATGTATGATCCAGTGGGTCTGAGAAACGATGGGTCCTGGGACAGATTGATCAGAACAATGTCAAGAGAATCCGATTCTGCAGAAGGGTCTGACATATGGGGACTAGGGGGGCCACACAGACCCCAGCCTTCATTTTTACAAACTGAATGCACCGTTGAAGGCAGCACCTAGATCAAGACACAGACCATAACCAGCTCCTCTCTTCCCAGGAGCTCCTGGTGCCTCCTTCAAGTTACTGAGTTTCGTCACCATAGCTCAGTCTGTCTGTTCTTAAACTTTGTATCAACTGAGCCATACAGTGGGATTCTCTGGCATCTGGATGATTTTGCTCCACATTTCATTTGCGAGGCGTATTTATGTTGCATGTTGTTTTGTTTATTCCCACTGCTGTGTAATAGTCCCATATGTGAAATATCACAATTTTTGTATCCAGCCAACTATTGATGGACACTTGGGTGGTTTCCAGTTGGGGACAGTTACGTGCAGGATTGCGGTATGCCTATGTGTAGACGTTTTCTGGTGGACAGATGTGCCCATTGCTGTTCAGTTTGTGCTTAGGAGTGAATAGCTGGGTCACATGCCCTATGATGTGGTCTGCTTTAGTTAAGGGGAACTGTTGTTCACAGGTATCAGAAAGGGTGGACGACATCAGGAATGAAGGGAGCGGGTGGGGAACTTGTTGAGATTGACTGTCAAGGGTAGACAGACCAAATCCCAGGGACTGGATCAAGTGAAGGGTTTTCTGTCTGCAGGGTGGGTCAGTGAGGAATGGAGACTAGAGAGAGCTACCAAGCTGAGAAACCCAGTTGCTGATACCGGTTTGGTCACTAGAGGCTTCTTGACCCTGCCTGGTTTAGGGGTCTAAGTTATATGGATCCTCCAGTCTTCCTGGCCCCCCAGAGCCCCCAAATGGGAAGAAGCTAGTGCCATCAGGCTGGTATGAGTGGGGCTCGTCAGCAGGTGGTGCAGAGTCTTTGCTGGGTGTTCAGGCTTGGAGGCGAGAACCGTGGGTCACCTCTGGTCATCTCTTTACCCGGCTACATGCATCTGTAAACTCCAGTAAGACAAGGGTCTGGGTCCACTGGGGGAAGGCCGGGAGTCCTCCACAGAGTCCTCCCCACTCTTTGTGGGTATACCAACTGGCACATGTACTCCTGTGGCTCATTCCAGCCTCTGAGCTGCCCAGGACAGCCAGTCGAGGTAGACAGAGAGGGCCTGTGCAGCCCTCTTGGATTTGACCCTTAGGGAGACCATCCATCACTTCTCAGCATCCTTGCCAAGCAGATAAGGCCACTCTTCTCATTCCCTGTTTCTTCCAGAATGGCAGCAGGGACAACTCTCTGGACATGCTGGGCACAGACATCTGGGCGGCCAACACCTTTGATTCCTTCAGGTGAGTTTCTCGGCCTCCTTTCTCTGTGGGGTGGAGTTCCAGTTGGGACCCTAGCTTACCTTTCCTGTGCCCCAGTGTTAAGTGGTGTGTTTGGGGCTAAATTTGCTTACTGAGCTTCAGATGGGAAGAAACAGTGGGGAAGGAAGTAGGGAGAGTGAGGCTGGAAAAAGAGGAGGTTGGAGAGAAGAGACAGGGAGATCAAAGAGAGGAGAATGAAGGCGAGATCATCAAAGGGAAAAGATAAATCTAAAAGATGGGGACAGGAAGCAGAGGAAGAGAGTTGGGGAAGGAAGACAGAAGACAGAAATAGTCCAGCTAAAGAGGAGAAGGAGAGCAGGCAGAGGGGACCACTGGAGAGCAAAGGGAAGGCTTAACTGTGCCCATCCTGTAACAGTAACCACGGCTGCAGACCCCACTGCTTCCACCTGCCTGTTGGAATGGGTGTTTGTAGAGGGGTGTGGTTCATACTCTAGAAGGTTCCTAGTGAGGCAGATTAGAAAAGCAGGTGTTGACCAAGGTTCCTTGGGGCTTGGGGAGCACTGTAAAGTAAGGATCCTACCCACAGTGTTTTCTAAACGTACATTTCACACAGCAAGGTTGAGAGAAGGTGAAGATGTTTCACAGAGCCTCCTCCCCATGTTTGTGGGTGCAGAGCTGACAGCTCAGGCTCCATTCTGAGTCAGGATATCCCCGCCCAACCATGCCCTTGTGTCTGGGAGCCCTCCCCGTTCTGCCTGCCTCCTTCTGAGGCTGCTTCCGGGCCTGGATTCAGCCTGGTGTGTCTGGTCCCCATCAGTAACTGGGCTTGTCTCCCCATTGCCCCGCATTTCTCGCCCTCCCTCGCCCTCTAGTGGTGCCACCTGGGACCTGCAGCCCGAAAAGCTGGACTTCACCCAGTTCCACCGGAAGCTGCGACACGCACCCAAGCAGCCCCTACCACACATCGACCGAGAAGGGTAAGGGGCTATGGGGCGCCTTCCTTGGGGTTCGGTAGGCGGGTCACGAGCTTGACTGTGAGGAGGCCACGTTAGGAGCCTTTCTAATGTTCCGGAGGCTTTATCTCTCCACCCCAGAATTGCAAGCTCAGGGGCTTCTCTAAGGAATCCCTCCCATTTCAGGGCGGACCCCTGGAGCCCACACTACCCACCTCACCTCCAACCCCCTTATTGACCAACTACAGTGGCCCATGAGTGTCAATCATCTTGTGCAGCTATCTCCAACTCGAGCTTGCATACGAATCCCCTGCAGGCTAGTGTGCCCCCAGATCACTGGCCTCACCTCAGTGTCTGGCTCAGTAAGGTGTGCCGGGAGGCCTGGGAATCCGAATTTCTCTCAAGTTCCCAGGAGCTGCTCCTGGTCTCATGAATACCCTAGTGTTGGATTTTACCTGGGTTTGCCTCACCCTCTAATTCAGGTATGGGCGTTGCCTTCCCTTTACAAAGACAATGTCGTGCCTGGGGTGACCCAGGACAGGGATATGACAGCAGCTAGACACAGGCTGGGGAGCAGTTGGCGTCTATTATCTTTAAAATCCTTTTATTAAAGTGAAACTCACATAACATAAAATTATTTTAAAGTAACAATTCCATGCCATTTAATACATTACTAGTGATGTGTAACTACTACCTCTATCTAGTTCCAAAACATTTTCATCACCCCAAAATAAACGTCCTCTGTACCCATTAAGAGATGCCCTGGTGATGTAGTGGTTAAGCACTCAGCTGTTAACTGAAGCGTCAGCAGTTGGAACCCACCATCGCTTCAAGGGAGAAAGATGTGGCGGTGTGTTTCCGTAAAGAGTACAGTCTTGGAAACCTTATGGGGCAGTTCCACTGTGTTGCTGTGAGTTAGAGCTGACTCGATGGCAGTGTACCCTCCCACTAAACAGTGATGCCTCATTCCCAGCCCCCAGCCCCTGGCAACCACCCGTCTATCTACTCACTAGCTCTATGGATTTGCCAAACCTGAATAGTTCATATAAATGGAATCATACACTCTGGGACTTTGTGTCTGGTTTCTTTCACTTAGCATAATGTGCTTGAAATCTGTATAGTAGAACTACATTCCTTCTTATGACTGGGTAATAGTTTATTTACCCATTCATCCACTGAATGGTTAAACCAAATACAATACATTGGAGTCCTGGTGTGGCACTGTAAGGTACGTACTGGACTGCTAACCACACGGTCAGAAGTTCAAACCTATACCAGCCACACCTCAGAAACCCTATACAGGGTCACTATGAGTGGGAAGCAGTGCTTCACAGCATTCATGCATTGAGGGGCATTTGGGTTGTGTCTGCTTTTCAGCTGTGCTGCTATGAACACTGGTGCTCAGGTATCCATTTGAATACCTGTTTTCAGTTCTCTTGGGAATAGATGAGAGGGTTTCAAAAAGTTCATGGAAAAATGCAATGAAAAGACAATGAAATTTGCCCACAAAGTTTTGGAAGCTCTTCATCATATCTAGGAATTGAATTGCTAAGTCATGTGATTACTCAGTATTTCACTTCCTGGGGAGCGGCACCATTTTGCATTCCCACCAGCAGAGCATGAGGGTCCCGGTGTTTCCATATGCTCACAAACACTTGTTAGTCTCCATTTGCTTTGTTTTTTGTTGCACTGATGGCTTCTCCTTTTCCTTCCCTGCCCACTCTTGTCTCCCGGTTGGTCACTTCAGATGTTAACGTAATTGATCCCATTGACCATCTCGCTACACACACCCCTAGAGACCACCTCTTCTCTGGGTAGCACTTGCCTCTCAGTATAATGAACCACGAGCCAGGATAACGAAGTGCTGGTCTCCACTTTAGAGATGAGAGAAATCAAGTGGCAGAATCAGGATTTAAGACCAGCCCTTCTGATGGCATCCAATGCCCGGGCCATCACACCAGGGTATTCTTGAACCGGCTTAACCCCCTTGAAATTGTGTGCAAAGTTGTGTGCACTTTGTGTGCATATGATGTAGCATGGTCCCAGGAGTCCCGCCCTCTTCCCAGACTTCGTTTTTCATTGACCTGTTCAACTTGTGGGCTTTGAAGAACTCTTGAAGGTGAGAGAGAAGCCGGTACCTGGAGGGTGCTGATTGTAGCAGCACCCTGGTATTAGATCGAGGCTCTCCTGAGCCTGGTTTCCCCCACCTCCTCATGCTTGCTGCTCCCCAAGCCTACACCTCCATCAGCAGGAAGCCATCTACCTTCAGCTTCGGCAAAGGGCTGCGCTCCCACTACATCTGTTTAGGAAGGGCGAGCCCTAGGCAGGAGGTGCTGCGCAGCTGTGGGTGTTTAACAGTGAAGAGGCTTCCATCTGTCTGGTTGCTGGAGCACGTTGGAGCTTGGGGATGGCCGTGAGACAGGACATGCATTTCACACCTCCCAAGCAGAGTGTGGCTGTTCTGCTGTCTCTCCCCACCCCACGTGGAGCTTGGGTGCCTTGAGGAAAACATAAACAAACACGCATTATAAAGCATGCCCCCACCCAGCAGGACCATTCGTTTAGTCTACTGGAAAAAGGAGGGTGATATGAACCTATTCATGATTGAACTGTAGGAAAAAGCAGTGTCGATATTTAGAGAATGAAAATATAAAATATGATATCAAGTGAGTAGTTAAATAAAGTCAATGCAAACAGTATTAACGAAGAGAGCACTTTCAGGGGCAGACTGTCAGGGAAAGCCTTCTGCGAAGCTCTAGCTCTCCTCTGTCCCCAGGGAGCACATAGATGGTGAAAACAGTGGGGAAACTGAGGTCCCGAGGCTAGAATCTAGGTCACTACTTTACTGCCCACAGGTGTCCAATTGGGGTGTGTGTGTTGAAGTCTGGTTTTCTGAAGGTGCCTGCACCAGTCCACACAATCTAGCTTCCTAACAGAGTATTTGTAGTAGCGATAGTGACTACCCTATTCTGGGAGGATGTCTGCCTCCATCCTGCCTCAGGTTCACCACTGCCAGACTTGTTGAATCTCTGGCTCCAGGGAAACCTGGGTGCAGGGTCCTGTGGCCACCTTGTGGACGGGCCGGGAACTGCATTACCCTAGAGTACTGCGACCCAGTTGCTGCAGCATCCCCGGAGGACAGAGAGTACCACTCAGTTGCTAAGGCTTCCTGCAGCCTGTGTTTCCATGGAGGGACAGGAATCCGAAAATGATGTTGCCTTGGAAACCCCGTTGGCAGCAGTGACTCAGCTGGTCTGAAGTAACCTTCTGCCCTGGGAACCTGCAGCTTTCGGGGTGGTGGGGCAGTCCTCTGATGCTGCCCAGTGCCCCTCTGAGGTATTGTTGGGGAGAGATGGAGACAGCAGGCTTGTTGAGTGCCAGTGGTGCCCAGCACGTAGTTGGGGCTCATTCTGTGCCTGGGCTGCTTCTGGGGAGATAGGGCATGCTGACCTGGGTATGCACATATGAGAAATGGCCTGAGGAAGCCTAAGAGCCCTCAGTGCCTTCCTCCCCAACCTCCCCTCCACTGCTGTGCCCTGAGGAAAACACAGGCCAGCCTAACTCCACCAGGCAAATTTATCAGTTAGAGGGTGGATGGATGTTTATAGACCTGTAGCCCAGCATGTCACGGGGTGGGTGGGAGGGGCGAGAGTTTCCCGTATTCACCCTCAGCTACACCTGCCCACACCTAAACCCTGAAAGCTTCACCCCACTAGCTCCATCTTGTTCCTCTCCCTACCTCCCCACACCCATTGCATCACTCACCCGTTGGATGGTACTCACAGCACATTATGCTATGCCAACCCCTATCTCTGCCTGGAATACTCTCCCGCCTTCTCTGTGCTTGACCATTCCCATCTCCCCTGGGGCTTGTCCTCCTCATGGAAACCTCCATGTCCACTCCAGATGCTGCTCCTCCTCCGGACTCCAGTGGTGATCTCTGCTAGTTGCTGACCTTCCTGCTCACTCTGTGGTGGGAGGGTTAGATGCCTTGCCCCTTCTCCTAAGAGAAATCCGGTTCTGTGCATGCTACACCTGGGTCCCAGTTAAACCTGGACCCCAGTCCAGAAGTGTTTGATGAGCGAATCAAAGAATGAGGCTTAGATCTTAACCCCACGTCTCTCTCCAGCGGAAGCCTTGCTTGGTTTTTGCAGCCAGATATTGTCTTGCTCTAGAGACCAGAGTTTTTAATGACATGATCTCGCGCTGCCCCCTGGTGGTCACCAGGCCTACTGCCCTATCACTTGAATTTAAGGTGGGGTTTTTTTTTGTTGTTGTTTTGTTTTGTTTTTCCTCAGTTAAGAGCTGTGAGCTACATGAGGGCAGGAACCACGTTGTATTTATTTTTGATGACCCCAAGGAAGCTAGACATGATTGAAAATATAAGCGATGCTTGGCAAATATTTGAACAAATTGCCTAATAATTACGCTGCAATTTGAGAGTTGCATTAACTCTGCTGCTGGAAAATGTTGCCGCCAACGCACTGGGTGACCCTGACCATTACCTCTGTCAGGAATAATGATTCTACCGGTAGTAGTAACTTTCTGCACATTGGCCCTGTGTCAGCCCCTGTTCGAAGTGCTTTTCTGTGTTAACTTGTTTGAAACTCACCACAACCCGGGGGGCAGGGACTAATATTACCGTCACTTGGCTGAGGCTGTTGGCTCTCTGTGATCTTAATCAATGACCAGACTGCCTCTCCACTCTAATAACTATAGTAATTCATGCCAGATTCAGAAGAGGACATGGAAGGCAGGATTTCATTACTGACTTCAGATGGATGTTGTCTGAAAGCAGAGAAAACCAGACAGATGTTTGCTTCTGTATGCAAAGGCATTAGACAGTGTGGATTATAACAAACTGTGGATAACATCTTGAAGAATGGTAATTTTGGAACACTTCATTTTGCTCATAAGGGGATACGGAATAGTTTTAAATCAGGAAAGGTGTGTGTCAAGGTTGTATCCTTCCGCCATACTTATTCAATCTGTATGTTGAGCAACTAATTTGAGAAGCTGGAACATAAGAAGAGGGTGGCCGCAGGATTGGAGGGAGGCTCATTAACAACGTGCGATACACAAATGACACGACCTTGCTTGCTGAAGGTCAAGAGGACTTGAAGCACTTACTGAAGAAGACCAGAGACCACAGCCTTCAGTATGCACTACACCTCCACATAAAGAAAACAAAACCCCTCACAACTTGATCAATAAATAACATCATGGTAAATGGAGACAAGATCAGAATTATCACAGATTTCATTTTACGAAGAACCACCATCAGCACTTAGAGAAAAAGTAGTTTCCATTGGGGAAAAATCTGCTGCAGAGAACTTTTTAAAGTGTTCAAGAACAAAGATGCCACTTTGAGGACCAAGGTGCACCTGACTCAACGCAGGTTTTTTTCAGTCGCTGCATGTGCACGTTGTACAGGAAATCTGAAGGCTTTTTGCCTGTGAACAGCTGCAGCCTGTTGCTGTTGGTAAGTGCTGTCGAGTCTGTTCTGACTCCTAGTGACACAGTAGGGTTTCTGAGGAGCGGCTGGTGGGTTTGAACCATATATCTTTTGGTTAGCAGTCCAACACCACACCAGGATTCCACAAGTTCAGCAGTTCAAAGCCACCAGCTGCTCCTTGGAACCCTATACAGAGTTGCTATGAGTTGGAACCGACTAGACAGCACTTAACAACAACAGTGTGCATGTGAGAACTGGACGATGAATAAGGGAGATTGGAGAAGAGATGATGCAGCCGAGGTCCAGTGTTGGTGAAGGACAGAGAAAGTTTCAGGGACTGCTAGAAGAACAAATGTGTCTTGGAAGAAATATAGTCAGATTGCTCCTTAGAAGTGAGGAGGCTGAGACTTGGTCTCATGTACTTTGGACATGTCAGGAGGGACTGGTCTCTGGAAAAGGACATCGTGCTTGGTAAAGTAGAGGGTCAGCAAAAAAGAGGGAGACCCCTAACGAGATGGACTGACACAGTGGCAGCAACAGTGGACTCAAACATGGCAACAACTGTGAGGCTTGCACAGGACCAGGCAGGGTTTCATTGTGCTGCACAGAGAGCTGCTGGGAGCTGGAGCCATGCGGACAACACCTAGAAACCACAGCAGCAGCCTTTATACACGCTTGCTGTGTGCTACACATACTTCTAAGCACTTAGATGCAATCACTGACTTCATCCTCCAGCCACTTCTCCATGTTTCTAGGTGCTGAACTCAAGTCCATTTGGAACCCTAGCAGCTCCATAGTGTTTTCCAGCCTGGAGTCTTTATGGGAGCAGATTGCCAGCTATTGGGTAACAGAGTGGGTGAGGCGTTGGGTTGCTAGCCACAAAGTCAGAAGTTCAAATCTGGGAGAAAGTTGAGGCTTTCTGCTCCCATAAAGATTTACAGCCTTGAAGTTGCTCTGAGTCAGAACCGATTTGAATGGCACGGAGCATCAGCATCATCAGGGGAGGCTTGAACCACTAGCCTTTCAATCAGCAGCCAAGCATTTAACCATTGTGCCACCAGGGGTCCCCTTTCCAGTGTAATTATGCAAATTTTACACATGAGGAAACTGAGGTCCACAGAGGCTAAGAGACTTGCTCAGGTCACCCAGTTAATAAGGATGAACCTGGGATTTAACCCCCCCAATCTAGTGTTGACGTCTGCACCCTTAAATATGCCACAGCAATGGACCTTTGCCCAGTGATTTGAGGCTGGCGTCTTTGGCTGAGGGTACGCCCACCCAAAGCCCAAAGATGAAGCCTGTAGTATCTCAGGGAGGTGTGTTATCAGCCTGCGTGGCCCTGGGGACATTGCTTCATCTCTGTGTTCAGATTTCCCCTTGGATGGGTTGGAAGAGCACGGTGGCTCTGTAGACAAAGCAGTGGACTGGGAACCACAAGGCTGGTGGTTTGAGCCCACCAGCTGCTCTGAGGGAGAAAGAAGACGCTTTCTACTCCTGCAAAGATTTACAACTTTGCAAACTCTCTGTGATCAAAATCAACTCCATGACGCTTTAACAACAACATTATGGGTCAAGCAGGATGGGCTCTGGGAAGGGGACATTGGCAAAGATCTGCCAGGAAGGCTCAGGGTCTCCAGTAGCTCTCACTTCCTTGCTCACTGGTGGGATACTGTGTTAATGACCTCCCACAAGGGTCCTGCTGGTGTGGGGTCCCTTGTCCTCACGGGAGGACCTGTGTTGCCAGGTATGGGGAAAAGGGCCACATCTCCAAGGCTGCTTCCTCGGACAGGACAGGCTGGGTCTGCAGCCTTCGGGACTGACCCCCTGACCCCTGCTAGTACGGATGGGACAGGATGTAGGAAGGAGCTGCTTTCAGTACCATTTTTTTTTTTTTTTCCTGGTCCAGGTGTGGCAAAGGGAAGCTGGAAGATGGGGAAGGGATCAACCTGAACGACATCGAGAAAGTCCTCCCGGCCTGGCAGGTACGTGCAGGGGCAGAGTCCCCACCCAGGGTATAAGTACTCCCACCGGCCCTCTTGCTCCAGTAGCGGGGGTAGCCACCTGCTATGGTCTAGGGTGTCCCTGTGACCTATTCTCAGCTCTGTCTGGGTATGCTGGTAGCAGGCCAGATGTACCCCAGAGATGAAGTGGACCATGAACTTGCATCTCAGTTAATTTGGGAGTTTCTCCTACAGTGCATTTCCAGACTGTGTTTAGACTTGAAAAGAGTTGTCCTGCAAATCTCCAGCTGTCTGCTGTGCTTTGCTGAGTTGGTCCTTGACCTTGACCAGGTCCACTTTCCCTGTCTGGAGCCAGGCTTACTCAGTCAAGAGGCATATTCAGGGGCCTCGAGATGTTTACAGTACTGCACTGCTGGTAGAAACACCTTCCAGGGGTTGGGTTGGACCTGCTGCAGGTGAGGAGAGTGGCAGACCCTCCTCACCTGACTAAGCCACTGCTGGTGACCTGCCACCATCCTTCTCTTTCCATGAGCCTGGCTCGTCATTTTCTTACATCCCTCCTGTGCTGTTTGTTCTTTGTCCATTTCATTTGTTCTGTGTTCATGCCCTTGACCTCCTCATGAGAGACATCACGTATGTACGTACAGTTAAGGCCTCTCAGCAATCGGATTATAATACACCTTGGTGTGGTTTTTCTTCCTGTTTCTTCTGCTTGGGGTTTATTGAACTTCTTGAGTCTGGAAGTTTATAGTTTTCATCAAGTTTGGAAAGTTTTCAGTCATGATAAACCCAGAGTCAGGGTTTAATATCTTCTGGGTTGGGTCATCTCACACGGTGTCACTAGAAGCAGGCTGGCCATCTTCCTGATCCCAAAGAATGGATGCCAGGTGGAGAAATGGGTCCTGGGAGAGCACAGTGGAATGATGGTCCTGACTTTCTCTAGAGTTCTCTAGTGTTACTATAACAGAAGTTCCACAGTGGATGGCTTTCACGAACAGAGATGTGTTCTCTGAAGACTAGAAGTCTAGATTCAGTGCACTGGCTCTGGGAAAGGGTCCGGGTCTCCTTTCAGCATCTGCAGGCCCCCAATTCCTGGTAGATCTCCATGGGTCTTGGCATCATTCTTTTCCTGGATCTAGGGACTTTACAGCACAGGGACCCCAGGTCCAAAGGACCTGGCTCGTCTTCTTGGTGGTAGTGGGGCCCTCTGAGCCATGCTTGCTTGTTTCATCTCTTCTATATCTCAAAAGAAATTGACTCAAGATCCAACCTGCTCCTGGAAATTGTGTCCATCAGCATCCTAGAAGTGAGGACCTGCAGCACACAGGCTATATCAGATCTATCTGTATCAGATCTATCTGATCTATATCAGATCAGAGCTGATGGCATCAGATCTCATCATGGGGTGATTACATTATATCAGAGCTCACCATGGGGGCAGAACTACATCTTCATTGCTAAACCATGGAGAATCCTGGCCCAGTCAAGTTGACACAAAACCTTAATACCCCCAGCCCCGACCATGCTACCTCCAAAATCTCTAGGGAAAGATCCTTTCTTTTCTCTCTCAGCTTCTGAATGTTGTTGTTGTTGTTAAGTGTTGTCAAGTAGGTTCCAACTCATCGTGTCCCTGTATAGGGTTTGCAAGAAGTGGCTGGTGAGTTTGAACCACCGACCTTGTGAGTCACACTGACCTTGCAGTCCAGCGCCACACCAGGACTCCCAGCTCTGGTAGCCCTAGGAATTCCTTGGCATGTAGCTGCATCTTCAAAGGCTGTCCTTCCAATCTCTCTAGGTCTCTTTTCTTTTATAAGTACAGCCCTCAGAATGGATTAGGACCCACCCCTACTGGAATATGAATATGAACAAATGTTAACTGATAACCCCAAAATTAAAAACAAACAAAACCCTTACTTATCCCATTCTTCAAAGTCTCCTCATCAATTGGACGCTGGTTCAGTGGTCCAGTTGGGACCATGAGGATCACCTCACCTTATTTTAGCATTTGGGGTGGGAAAGTTCTTAATGTATGGGACTGTATAGTTGATCCTTAAACAACACGGGTTTGAACTGCATGGCTTCACTTATACTTGGATTTTTAAAAACAGAAACACTGCGTGATGCTCATCATCTCCTCGTAAACAGTTCATCTCTCCAGTAAATTATGTTTCACAATAAAAGTGATATCGCGTGGTTTTTATGTATTTGTCATCATGTTTAGTGCCATACCATAAACCCTGAATAACACTACAGGGTCCATACGAAGTGCCACGAGTGGTGCTGTAAGTGCTCCTAAGAAGCAGAGGAAAGTCCTGACGTTACAAAGAAAAGCAGAATGGCTCGACGGGCACCACAGATTGAAGTCAGCAGCTGGGGTTGCCGTCACTTCAAATAAATGACTCCAGTGTAAAGACCACCATAAGAAAGGAAAAGGAAATTCAGGAAGCCGTTGTTGCAGCTCCATCAGCAGGCATGAAAACCTTGTGCTTTTTGGGAAATCATTTTTTATCCCACGTTGAAAATGCAGCTTTTATGTGGGTGCTGTGAATGCTTATATACAACACACAAGATATATGTTAATCAGTTGTTTGTTATCGATAAGTCTCTGATCAATAACAGACTATGAGTAGTTAAGTTTGCGGGGAGTCAAAGTTTAGTGTGAATTTCTGACTGAGTGGGGGATTGGTGCCCCTAAATCTTGCATTGTTTAAGAGTCGGCTGTAGGATATTGTACCCTTGTTCTCCACCATTGAATATCAGTATCGGGAGAGATAGGGAAGGAGATGAACAGCCATCAGAACCCCAGGAGCATCCCATTTCTAAACACCCCAGGGGATGCTGTGTACCAGACTGAAGATTACCGAGTGGGAGAGGACCTAGCCCTTTCCCCCATGGGAGTCACAGAAGCACCAGAGCTGCTCTCTCCCTGCCTCATGGAGGCCCAGGCTCCCTCTCTGACCCCTCCCCTTCCCTGCCTGCTCAATCCCTCAGCAGACAGGAGCCTGTGGGCCCGCCCCTCAAGCTGCCCTGTCTGTCATGGCTCCGTGTTCTCATAGGCAGTCTCCTCTGCTGGAAGTCTGCTGGTCCTGGCTCAGGTCACCTCCTGTGCATGGGGCCCAGCCCCAAAGACCATCTGCCCAGCTCCCTAATCCCCACCTGCTAAATGGTCTGACTCCCCTCCTAAACTTTGGGCTGCTTGGGGACTGAAGCCGTTACCCAGCCCCCAGCATTCTTAGGTGAGTGATGTTTGAAGAATATAATTGTGATTGTCTGGAGAGTCCAAGAGAGATCTGTCTTGACGTTCATCTCTCCCACTGGGGTGAGTTTCCACATGAACCTGCTCTTGCTGGTGTGATTTGGGGACATGTCTTTAAACATACACACAGCTTCCCCCTCATCTTCTCTGTTACGGTGTGATAGGGGGTGGCATGCAGCTTGCCACCTAGAATTTTCTTTTCCAGTTACTGGAAGTCTGCCCCAGGGTCCAGCTGCTCTAGGGCAGCTCCTTTCTAAAGTCGGCCCTAAGGATCCAATTGGCTTCCATTCTTCGGTCCTGCCATCTCAACCCATGGCATCCAGGTGGTCCTGGGGAGGGGGAAGAGAGAGCTAGATGGCCGTGCTCTGCTTAAATGCTTTGGCCCAGAAACATCCCCTACACCGATAGTCCCTTAGGGCAGAACTAGTCACACCACCCCATCTGACCACAGAGGGGCTAGCAGGGGCTGGAGGGCACTGGCTTATCAGTGGGCAGTAAATGTCTTTGCTCAGTCTTTCTCTTAACTTGTTCACTTAACTCATCTTCATGGGACAAAGTGCTTTGCTCAAGCCTTGGAGAGGGGTACAGAGTCCAGTGCCCCCAAAAGGTGCACAGTCTAGGAGAGGACATGAGTCACGTGTCTTGAGCAATGCTGGTACCTCACCCAGGTCAGAGTCTCTGTGGGGTGAAGAAGGTACATCCCTCCTCAATGCGGCTGCAGTCTGAGGCTTGATTGTCCCAGTAACCCCTAGATTTAATGCTTCTTGTAGATTTTGCTGGGAGCCACACCTGGGGGCACAATCCACAGTAGTGGTCCTAGGTGGGTGCCTAGCCAAGCTCCCCTCCAGTCAAAGCCAAGGATCCTATCCCTGAGGGTCTCGCCTGGCTGTACTTCCAGACTTGGGGCAGAGAGTAGGTGCCCACATCCAAGGGTTGTGCTTGTACTTCGGGGAGCCCCAGCTGCCAGGCACATTTCTCCACCATGAGGACATTTAGCTGGTGAGGGTAGATGTTGAATCCTGATAACGATGCCACTGGAGAGGGCAGTGCAGGTGAGCTAGGACAGGTGGTGACCAGCAGCCAGGTTTTATAGCGTTGCTCCCTAACTCTTCTTCAGGTGGGCAAGGGCTTTGGAGTACACCGTTTCTGAGGGGGACGAGAGCTCTGATCAGGGAGGGTATTAGGAAGCCCTGAACTCCAGGCTTAGCTCTCGGGCACTGAGACTATTGGGGCAGGGCAGAAGCTGAGACAAAGCTGGGCTTAGAGGGGTCCTGGGGCACATGCCATCCATGAGACTGGTACCCCACCTGCCTTTTCTTGGCACCTCTACTATGAATTGTTTATGGTGGTGCAAAGGCTTGACTGGTTGCCACAAGGTCGGCTGTTCAAACCCACACAGCAGCACCATGGGAGAAAGAGCTGGCAGTCAGCCCCAATAAAGATTGTTGTTGTTGTTAAGTGCCAACTCATAGCAACCTTTTGTAGGGTTTCTAAGGAGCAGCTGGTGGGTTCGAACTGCTGACGTCATGGTTTGTAGTCCAGTGCTGACCTTAAACCCTTTGGGGGCAGTTCTCTGTCACATGAGCTCACTGTGATTGAGACTCAACTCCACAGCATCCAACAACACAGCTGTGAATTGTATACAAGTGGAGTGGGGCTGACTCATCTGCCAGCTTGGCAGTGATGTGTTTGTCTAGCGCCCATCATGTGTAATCCACCCCGGAGTAGTGTAGTGGTTATGAGTTGTGTTGCTAATCTCAAGGTC